GTGTTGAGAAAACTGTTATTTTACTTCTATTTTGGTGTAGATTTTTTTTTTAATTTTTTTTTTTTTTAACTGAGCATTTACTCTTCAGCAGAGCTGCATCACACACCGGAGCCCACAGTAGGGTATGTAGCCATCCTATGTGTCCGTGTGGAGCCTTGTCCCCGATGGGAGCGTTGGGCACCCGGGAGGTGGCTGGGCTGGGGGCAGAGAAGGGCGACTGTCCCGTCGTCCCCGTGCCTGGGCGGTGGGACCAGAGCTGCCGTGCCCGGCTGTGGGCTGGCTGGCCGGGGTGGGTTTTCTGGTTGCTGTTTCTAGGCGAGGTTTGCAAAAGGTCACAAAAATTAATCTTCTAACTGGGGACCTTGGCACTGCGCGGAATGAATGTTTTGCATTAACAACCTAACTCATTAATTCACTGAAACATTTAAAACCAAACCAGTTATATCCAGCCAAGCTGGAAAAAGCTGAAAGTTCATACTCAGCAGTGCAGATTTCGAAACCTCCCTTTGTTAATCTCTGCAGAAGTAAATTTTCTGAAATTGCTAAGCTCACTTTGACCGGTCTCGGCATTGTTTTCCTCAGCAGAGGCAAAGCTGCTCTGCAGAGGATTAGCGGTGTGTACCTGGACCCAACGATGGGGACGGGACGGCTCCTGTGCTGGGGAGGAAGGAGGGCTGGCCAGGGAAGGAGGTGTTGCAGGAGGGGAATGCTCATAGCAGCATTGTAGGTTTTGGGCTTTCTCTAGCAGAAATGCTGCGCTGTTTTCATAGATTGGGACCCTAGATTTCACAGTTTCCATCTTCCTCCTCTATTATATTTTCAGAATTGCTAGGGGTAGTTGAAATCACAGCCTAGCACGTCTTGTGGTCCTCCTTCCACTTGTAAGCTGGAGGTGGGTCGCTGGCATGTGGCCGTTGTGGGCCTCCTACACGGAGGAGAGCTGGGCAGAGCCAAGCACCGCAGGAACCTGCAGTTCTCCTGCCCTCCCCGCTGGCTCCGAGAAACTGATGGGTGGCCACCAACCTGGTTGTCCCTGTAGCCGTGACGTGGTGACAACAGCGTTAAACTGCATCTACCAGTGGAGCAGAGCTTTCCCGTGGTGATTTTTTTTAACTGTTTTAAGCTGGGAGCTGTGCAGACGAGCAATCACAGCCGTACATCAAGGATGGGGATCCACAACCCAACCCACGCTGTTCACCTGGGTTCGTGCCCGCCTCGTGCAAAGGCCAGGGCGTGCACAGTTGTCTCGCTGTCGTGTGAGCGAACACAAATCAGCCCCAGGGTCAGTTCCTGGTGCTTTAGATATGAGAGAAACGTACCCCCAGCCACGTGCTGGGCTGGGATCCGACCTGGCCAAAGCAGCCTTCGGGCTGCCTTTCCTTCCAGCATTAGTTTCTCTGGGAGCATCACTGGGACCGAATTGGTTTGACTCTGCTTTAAGTCAGTTTTCCCTCAAATTTCCAACAGCAGTGGCAGGTTTAGGTGTGAGGTCATTTGACCTGCTTACTCTGCTACCTCACTATTAAATTAGCAGGTATAAATTAAATAGGAACCATGAATCTAGGTACAATCACTTTGTCTTCCCGGCTGCTGGGTAGCTATTCCATATAGCTAATGTCTCTTTCTTCCAGTTAATCATAAAATAATATATGGCTGTACACATCGGTCTGAGGTGTTTGTAGTGGTGGTATACTGAGCTCCCTTGTAAGGCTGCTTTTTAATTGATTAATTTTTCTGCCTTTAATTTACCCTAGCCATTAAAACAGCTTCGCTTACTTTGATGATGGAGAAATCGGTGAATTATCCATTCTGTTATACGTTAGTGGTGTATTAAAGTATTAGTGCATTCCAGAAGGTGAGCAGTGAATAAAACATGCTCCGAACATGTGGTTATGCAACTGTTCCATGGAAATGAAATGGACAAACAGTACACTTGATTAATTTTTTTTTTTCCCCAGTAAATTGGCACTGTGATTCACTTCCAGCTAAATTTGCAATCTGTGTTCTCAGGTGGCATTAATATTGGAGCCCCAGCAGGAGAGCTGTGGCGGCTGGGGCCGCTTTGATTGCATTTTTAACAAAAGTTGTTGGGGAGAGCACGGAGCTTGATGCAAATGTGCTGGTAAATGAAATGCAGAGCTTTTAGGTTCTCCGTAGGTGGGTCAGGCCATTCACATTTACCCAAAATAACAGTGGCGGCGTGGGCACTCCGTTAACGTGGCACAATGGGGATCTTTGTGTATCTCCGTTGCTCTGTATCAAATTTACTCTGTTGACAGATAAAAATCATCTTTTTGATATCTGGCGACTCCATAAACACTAGGTAAGATCCACCTGGGACTCGAGCTGTCTTGGTAATGGAGACTCTGGAACTGGATCTCTATCAGGAGTTTGCTGGAAACGAAAAAGCTTGCAAAGGGCCCAGCAGTTTCTTCCTGGCCTGTGTTAGAGCTGCAGAATAAAATTAAATAAGAATTCCCTTTTACTATTGCTTCCCTGACCTGAAACTCCTTTCAGCCTTTAAAGCTATATTTTGTAGCCTTCAGGATAGTCTTACTGGTTTTTTTCCTAATTGACTCAACTTGGAAAGGTCATCGTACCCTGCTAGATTGTGTAATATTTAACTTAGCATCAAAAATTAGGATCTTGGGATTGGTGTCAAATGGATGCTGTTCCCCTCTGAATAGCAAAGCCCATTCATAGTCATCCAAGTATTCGACTTGCTAATGCTAATGAATAACTTTCTGGCCCTCTGCAGAGGGAAAGACTAACCACGAAAAGGTGGAATGAGAGCGGCATAAAGCAAGTATTGAGAGCATGCAATTCGCACTGTCTAAATCAAGATCACAGCTTTAATACCTTTTTTATTTATAGATTTTTTTTTTAAAGTTATAATTTCTAGCTTTTCACGAAGCTTTAGCATAGCAAACAGTCTTTTCTGATGCCAAGTTCAGTGATGACTAACACTATTTACAGGACTGTTTTGTAATCTCAGATCAGCCCACATTAACGGGAAGTTACGTTTTCCCATCAGTCTTTTAAACGGTGCCCGAGAGTTGCTGAGGCCGGAGTCGGCTATCTAGGCTCTCCTGTTTGGAAAAAATGATGTCAGCTTTCAGAACAATTTTTTAAAAAATTTCTAATGAAGTTAGGGAGGTCAAATTGTACTTCCTCCCTTTGATTTTTTGCATTAGGACCTTTGGTTTCTCTGTTCTAAAAGCTACCAACAAAAATAAGCAGAGGAGGTATTGCATAAGCACCACGAAGTCATTTGCCCGATCTGCATTTCTCAGTGCATGAGATCAGCTCAGAATATCTGATATGAGAAAGCTACTGGTGCACAACTGCTGTAACTGATAGGAGTTACCTCTGTGAGTCATCTGGTAGGATGGTAAGTTGATCTTTTTTTTTTTTTTTTTTTTTTTTAAGTTTTTATGAGTGTTTTTTATAAAGCTCTTGTCGCTGTTACTGTAAATCCCAGGAAAATCTGGCACCGAGTGTTTGCAGTACGAATCAGTGCATCCATATGCTTCCAAGTGACCTTGCAATCTGGGAAAATACTGTTTTATCCCTGTGTTTAAAAGAAAAAAAGCAGAGTTGCTGTATAAAAGGTTGACAGAGGGGTTAAGGCAGAGCTGTGGCTTGCTGAGACGTGCTGCCTTCCCTGTCATCGGGACCCGTCACCAGGCAAGTGGCTCCTGGTGCCAGCTACAGCAGACAGCTTTACTGCCCTCGGGTCGTGATCTCAGGCACGGAGCATCCGCTGCGCAGATGGCGAAGCTACATTAGGCCAGGAATAAGGCTGTGGCTAACGCCATGGCCTTCCACAGGCTGGAGCAGTTTGGGAACTGCTTTAGCTTCAGAGAAAAAAAAAAAAAAAAAAGAAAAAATTATTCCTTTCTGTTTTTCTTTCCTTTTTTTTTTTTTTTTTCCAAATGTGACAGATCTCTGGTCGCCCCAAGCCCAGCAAAATGGCCTTGTGTTGCAGAGAGGTTACACTTTCTTAAGAAATAGCCCCAGCACACTGAGTTGTGTGGATGCCGAAAGCTGCAAAGGTGGTAGGAGGGGAAGACTGGGAGCCAGGAACATGTGTGTGATGCTGCCCGTGAGTTTTGGGGCCTTACGTTCTCTTGCAGCTCCAGAGAAAGACTCAACAGATGCCGTTAAACAGTAACGAAGTGTGCACAGGGTGGGGAGGGAATCTCACGAATGCTTTGCAGGCTTGCTGAGTGAGAAGGGCTAAAATATGGGGACCTGGCTGCAGCCTTCTTGCTCCCTGCAGCAGAGCTCCAGGCGTCTCTGCAGGCAGAGGCCCTTGGCACGGGCACGGTGCTTTCAGCTGGCGAGAAACTTCCCGACAGGATGGTTGGAAAATGCCGATTTTGAAGAAATCGAAACGTTCTGTGGGGAGCGTGTTGATTTTTTGTCAGGTTTTTCTGATGGAAAGCAGATGGCTTTCCCAGGGTGACCCTGCCTGGTATCGCCTCCTGTGTGCCGCTGAGCCGGGAGCCTGGGCGTGCAGGGAGCCCAGGCACGGCTCTCCCTGCTGAAATACTGGTGGTGGGTCTTGGCAGGGCAGGGCGAGGGGAAATTCTGGCATTTTTCCTCCTCAGATGAGAATGTGATGCAGGCTGTAAAAGAGGCATGTTTGTGTGTTTGTTTTTAAACAGGTAATTCACAGGTTGTATGTGTGAAAATACAGTAAATCCAAGGTCAAGTTAAATTTTTCCAGCAAAAGAGGCTGAAAATGATTTATTGAGTGAAACAGTTAAATGCCAGGACAGTTGTGCTTTGTCTAATGCCAAGAGAACTAACCCCTCCTCCCTCTCCTTGTCTTCAGGTCCAGTGGCAAATATGAACATTTGTCAACATTTGACAACAGCTCCTTGGGACATCATGAATTTGCTCGAATCTAGACCACAGAGCACTTGCAATAGCGCTTTTTAAATTTTAATTTCATTTAAGCGAAAGGAAAATAATCATCTGGATCAATTGTAGTGATGGCTAGCAAAAGAAAATCCACAACTCCCTGCATGATACCAGTAAAAACACTGGTGCTTCAGGAGACTGAACTGGACACCGTAGAAGATGATCGTGAAGGAACGCAACAAGATGCTCCTGCGGAAGGGCCAGCAGCTGGTGATGCTGGTGCCAGTAACAGTAATAACGGATCTTTGTCTAATGGGCACCGTGGTATTGCTGATAGTGACACTTATATCTGCAAGTCTTGTGACTTTGGATCTCAAGACGTTCATCACTTCTTTGGGCACTTGGACTCTGAGCACTTGGACTTTAGCAAAGACCCTGCGTTTGCATGTGTTGCGTGCAGCTTCCTGGCAAATAGCCACGAAGGGCTCTCGCACCACAATGCAGAGTCGCACGCCGGCGAAACGAGCTTCACCTGGAGGGTGGCTAAGCAGGACAATCGTACAACTGTGGAACAAAGTCTCTGTGAGCCCGCCAGCAGCCATGACCTTCCGGGAGAGGTCCCTGAAGAAGGGGTGGATGGCCAGTCTGAAATTATCATTACCAAAACCCCCATCATGAAGATAATGAAAGGTAAACCGGAGGCCAAAAAAATCCACACGCTGAAGGAGAATGTGTCAAGTCAGCTGGGCAGTGAGTCGGAGGTGAAAGACGGAGAGCATTCATTCCCAAACGGGTCCGTGCCAGTCAGCCAGCCCACTGCAAGTTCAACAAAATCATCTCATATAGTGAATGGCTCCATCATAGGAAACGTGCCTGTTCTGCAAGCGGGCGTTGCACAACTTGTGTCACTGCAGCAGCAGCCCCCGTTGCATCAGCAGCTACCTACATCCAAGTCCCTTCCCAAGGTGATGATCCCCCTGAGCAGCATTCCAACGTACAACGCCGCCATGGACTCCAACAGCTTCCTCAAAAACTCTTTCCACAAGTTCCCCTACCCCACAAAAGCCGAGCTCTGCTACTTGACCGTGGTGACAAAGTACCCAGAAGAGCAGCTGAAGATCTGGTTCACTGCCCAGAGGTTGAAGCAGGGCATCAGCTGGTCACCGGAGGAGATTGAAGATGCCAGGAAGAAGATGTTCAACACTGTTATTCAGTCCGTGCCACAACCCACCATTACAGTTTTGAACACGCCACTGGTTGCAAATCCTGGGAGCGTTCCCCATCTTATTCAGGCGACTTTACCGGGCCACGTGGTGGGGCAGCCGGAGGGCACAGGGGGGCTGCTGGTCACGCAGCCCATCATGGCAAACGGGTTGAAGGGCACCAGCTCCTCCTTCACCTTGGCAGTGACTTCTGTCCCCAAGCCGCAGCCGGCAGCACAGCACAGCACGGTGAGCTCCAGCAACGCGTCGGGGGTGAAGGTGGTCAACAGTGGCCAGTCGCTGCTCACCGCCTGCCCGGCGATCTCCTCGCAGACCTTCCTGGATCCCAACGTGTACAAAAACAAGAAGTCCCATGAGCAGCTCTCTGCCTTGAAAGGCAGCTTCTGCAGAAACCAGTTCCCTGGCCAGACTGAAGTCGAGCGGCTGACAAAAATTACGGGCCTTTCCACCAAGGAGATTCGAAAATGGTTCAGCGATAGGAGGTACCACTACAGGAACGTGAGAGGCAGCCGGGCTGTCTTCCCTGGAGACAGCGCTCTCGATTCCCTGCCCGAAATAGCCTTCGACGTCTCGCCCAGAGGAGCCGAGCTGAGCCCCGCGGCGGCGGCGGCCGCGCCGGCCCCTCACCACCCACCGCGGCGGCAGTCATGGCACCAGGCACCCGACTTCACGCCAACCAAGTACAAAGAGCGGGCGCCGGAGCAGCTGAAGGCCCTGGAGAGCAGTTTTGCCCAAAATCCCCTTCCTGCGGAGGAAGAGGTGAACCGCCTGAGGGGGGAAACGAAGATGACGCGGAGGGAGATTGATAGCTGGTTCTCGGAGAGGAGGAAGAAGAAGGTGGCGGAGGAAAATAAGAAAGTGGAGGAGGCGGCTCGGCAGGAGGAGGAGGAGGTGGAAAATGGTGGCGGGGAAGGGGAAGAGTCCTCGGATGAGCTGAGGGCCATGAGCGAAAACGGCTCAGTCGATGCCTCCAGCAACAACCCGAACTTGGTGGAGCGGAAAGTGAGTCCCATCAAAATCAACCTGAAAAACCTCCGAGTGACCGAGTCCAACGGCAAAAGTGAGTTACCGGTGGCCGCAGCAAATGAGAAAGGGGACGGGCGCCCTAGCCGGGCCCGCACTCCTCCCAATTGGGTGGTTGGGGGCCAGCCGCTATGGCTACAAGAACGGGCAGCTGAAGTGGTATGAGAACTACAGGCGGGGAGTTTTTCCCCCGGGGCTGGTGGAGGTCAGCCCCGCCAGCCGGGAGGTGCTGGAGGACTACTACGAGAAGCACAAGGGGCTGCGGGAGGAGGACGTGCCCGGCCTCTGCGAGCGCTCCCACCTCAGTGCCCAGCAGCTCAAGGTGTGGTTTGCGGTGAAGGCAGAGGAGGAGAGCAGGGCCGCCGTCCCCGAGGAGGCCTGTGCCGGCGAGATGGCGGGAAGCCGGAAAGGGCCGTGCGAGGCCGGCTCGGAGGTGTCGGAGGGCAGCGAGTCGTGGGAGCCGGGTGGCCAGGAAGGCAGCGCCGGGACCCCCGACGCCCCCGGCCCACCACCGGCCGCACGGCTCCGGCAGGGCTCTAAGGTCTCTGCCGCGGGCAGGGCTGGCTCCGCGGGAGGGTTGGGGTGAGCATGGGGCACGGAGCGTTTCCTATTTGGGAAGCTGAGGCTTTAGGGAAGGGTTTAGTGTCTGGTCTTGCTGGTTGGGATTTAACTGAGGAAGCGGTGAGGAAACCCCTGGGAAAGAGAGGGAGCCAGGGAAGGGGGATGAGTGTCCGGCGAGTGCAGCTGCCTGCCCGGGTCACTGGATGCTGGCTCCACTCTGAAGCCAAATCCTGGCTTTATTTTAAGCCTAAGTAAAACCAGCGGGAGTGTCTGGTCCCTTTACTTGCCCTGGGGGAAGGTGGCCCTTGGGTTTATTTATGAAGGGGATGGGTATTTGGGAAGGAAGGGGCCTGGCTGCTGTCCCCCATGCCACTGGCTCCTTCCATGCCTCTCCTTGGCCTCGGGCAGCAGACGCAACCCCTGCCTGCCTGCGCAGGCAAGAGCCTCCTCCCTTCCCTCTCCTACCACCGTGCAGGGCAAGGCTTGCGTGCTGAAGATGGAGGTTGCAGGGAGGGAGAGGGCATGGAGGGCTGGTGTTGGCAGCTGCTGGCCCTATCCCTCCTCCAGGACTCGCTTTTGAGAGGCACACGTGTGTGTGAGTGCACACGCATGTGGAGGAGAGGAGAGGTGGTTTCCAAGCCCTCTGCGGGCTCTTCAGAAGTGCAGCTGGGGGCTGTTTCCTCCCTGGCCGGGTTCCCACCAGATGGGGATGGCCGAGCACTCGCCCTGTCCTGCCGCAGGCTGCGCAGCCCCTCTCCTGCTCCACACATGCAGCCCCTTGCCGGCGTGCTGGGCAGCCGGGCTCTTCTCCAGCCCCGCTGCCTTGCTTCGGAGCCTCCCACACATTTCTGCCATGGCTGCAGGCCTTAAAAAAATTTTTTTTAAAAAAGCCACTAAAATTCATTGCTTCCCTCCCCTGTGTAATGCAGAGGAGATGGAGCGTGGGTTTGAATGTGGCCCTGCCCTTCTTGCAGCTGAGAGGTCTGGATGTGCGTTGCCCCGTGCTCTTTGCTGGGGAGCGGCTGCGGCCGCAGGAGCGGGCTGGGGAGGCGTTGCAGCAGGAGCGGTTTGGGGAGGGGTGGTGGGCCAGCTGTTGTGTCTGAGCCAGGGCGATGGCCGTGCCCCTGCTAGCACCCTCTGAGCGTGGCTTTATGCCCCTCATGGCACAGAGGCAGGAGGTGCTCAGCGAGGGTGCAAAGCTTCGGACTGCCGCGGACTGCGTCCCGCCTTAGCCCTGCCACTGGCCAAAGCCCAGCTCTGCTCCCACAAGGATTTTGGGCTTCCTGGCCCCTCTGAATGGGTCTGGCCTTTCTCTGCAGCTGACTCCTTCAAGGCTCCCAGTTTTGCCCATCCCGAGGCACTCCTGCACCCCTTCCTCCCCACCCAGCACCCCACCTGGGTTGCAGGCCCCTGCAATGAGCCAGAGCGTCTCTAACACCTCTGTTCTTTTTCAGAAACAGACTGAACTCAAACCACCAGCCCCAGAGGATCCGCTCTTACCCTTAAGAAGAAATTTTTGGTCTTTAAGAAACCCATGGGCCGGCCTGATCCAAACCTCAGGAGCAGGACGTGGTGATAAAGCACTGCCATAAATGAGACCTTTGAGCGCAGCACACGAGAGAGCGCGCGTGCAAAAACTGGGCACTTAATGCAGAGCTCTTGCTGGCCCAGCCAAGGAGGTGGCTGAGAGCTGGCGGAGGCGGGGGCTCAGCTCACACCCAGGAAATAGGATGCTCTTGTTTGCTTTCCAGTGGACAGACTTTCAGATTTCATATTCATATACCGATGCCTACAGCTGCCTAGACAAGCGTAACAAATCTCAGACATTGTGTAAACAAGGTCATTGCTTAGATATGGACTATCATGGCACAGTACTTTTTTTCTTTTTTTTTTTTTTTTTTTTTTTCTTTCTTTTCGTTTATGGGTTTTTTTTTTATAGGGTTGGCTGGATATATCCTCTCCGCCCTTTCTGGTCCTTAAGCCGTGATATGGGCTTTCATGGCCCAATTCTTTTTTTTTTTTTTTTTTTTTTTTTTTTTTTTCCATCTGTCCGTTAAGGTGTTTGTTCTCTAAAGGTTGGCATGGCTGCATATATCCTCTCCGCCCTTTCTGGTCCTTAAGCCCTGGCAATGAAGGGCTTTGCGGGCACACAAGTGTGTATGTGCGTGTTAGGAAAGGAAAGGTATCTGAGAAGCAAGCTGCCAGTCTTGCATTAAAGTCCAGTGGGAGCTGAGTGAGATTTTCATCCCTATGGATGAGGTTAGATTTAGCATTGCATACTCTTCAGTAAGTAGCAGGTTCCCAGACCCAGACAACCCAGGAGATGGAGTTTGGTGTCATTTGCCCCTTGCTGGCTAGAATATTTTCCCCTGCGCTCCTGGAGACTGACTGCAGCAGGCTGTTAAATCTCCAAGTCTCCCTTGTAATCACTGAGAACTAGCACATAATAATTTTTCCATCCTGACCTGGAATCCTTTGCATTGTTCAGAGAGAACAAGCTGTTCTTCAGAGAACAAACGCAGAGAATACGCAGCGTTGCTGTGAGTGGTTCAAGTCATTGTTGTCTCCAAGGGATCGGCGAAGCAGCAGCTCTTCTGCAATCAGGAAGTTTCCCTCTTGCAGCCCTACATGACAGATCCTCCTGCAGCAGCGCTGGTAACTTCAAGTGTTTGCTCCAGTCTTTTTTTTTTTTTTTTCTGCCTTTTTTTTCCCCCTAGTTCATCTGCAATAATTCTGGCAAAACAGCAAAATAAATTTCCCAGTTAACCTTCCTGCTTCCCGGTACCTGTACATTTTTAATGTGCCCATGTTGTCTTGGGTGGTTGCTGTCTGATGCAACTACTTGAAGATTTTTTTAATATTCTTTTCTAATAGAAAACAAGGTCTAGAAGGGAAACTCTTGAGCTGAATAGTCCAGCCAAATGCTGTGTCAGACCATTCTGTCACAAACTAATCAAATCCCAGCTCAAAATTGGTTCCATGTCTTGCCTTCACTTTTGCTCTTGGAAGGCTATTCCAGAACTTCACTGCCTTTGGATGGTTAGAAACTTTATTTAAATTTCTAGTTTGAATTAATTCGTGGCCGGTTCATTCCTGGTTTGTTTTGGAGCCAACATTGTCCTTTAACTTAAATAGTTTTTGGTGTTTATCTGCTGATGTATTTATGGAGAGTAGTCATAGCTCCTTATTTTTGCCAAGCTAACTCAGACAAGCTTTTTCAGTAGAAGGTTTTTATTTAGTGAGAGCTTTTTAATGTGGGAGACTTTATTGTTGGTGGTAAATGATATTTATTAGAAGGGTGGGTAGCAAGCCCCAAAGGATCAGATCCAGAGGTTTACAAAAAAATCTAGTTTAAAAACAAAAAAGCTCTTTCAGAACCTCTTCCAAAGATGGTGTCTGATTTCTACCTTTAATTGCCCTTGCTTTTCCAATTCTTTCTTTGTCCCCTCTTTAAGAGGCCGCCTTGCTCAACTACTAGGAGGGGCTTTATCTGTTCAGTGCTCTGTGAGAGAGGGCTTCCTCTCGCCTACGCGGTACGTGCCTGCGCCTGAGCTGCCCTGGCACACAGTGTAACCCCCGCGGCCAAGCGCGGCGTCTGCTTGAGGAGGAGATGACCTGTACCCTAAAGAGAGCCGGGGCGACGCACTCAGATGCAGACACCCGCACTGCAACCATCCCTTAGCAGTCAGGCGAGCCCTCCCCAAAATGCTGCAGGCAGGGGTGGTGTCGAGCCGGAGCACCCTGCTGTGACGCCAGGCTCCCTAAATTTCTTTCTCTTTAGAAGCACTATTGGCGGTCATGCTGTGGTTGGAGGCATAACCGGCAGCAATCCCACCTCGGCCTCGTGTCGGCTCAGCCGGGCAGCATCCCCACCGCTCTCCTCCGGGAGAGCAGGGGTGGCTGCACTGCAAAGACAGCCAGAGCCCCAGGGGTTCACCCTTGTGGGTGCAATCCTGCAAACCCCCAAATGTCAAAGGTGATGGGAGAATCTGGGTGGTGCTAGAGCCGGAGGTAGCAGATCTGGGAGTCACGCGGCCCGAGAGTATGAGTGTATGTACAGTGTTACCTTCAGAGAACAAATACAGGTAGGTCAATTTACTCTCTAGTGTCTATGTACGTGCAGGTTTATTTAAGTACACATATATACAGTTCAGATATGCCATTGATTCTTTATTGCATTAAGATGTACATTAAAAATGTACACTTTTACTAACTACTTGCTATATAATTATGTTGGAAGTGTAGTTTGCCCATTCAAGGTGATTTTCTGTGGGATTTTTGGTGTACACTTAAAGGCCTATGGCTAATTGGAAGAGTGATCCCCGCTCCATCTACAGAAATGCTTAAGGACTATGGTATGAACTGGTCCCTTCAAACCATTTTTCCATGCACTAGCTGAAATTTTTTGCACTTGGATTGTATTTGGCCAGTTTTCCAGAAAAATTGAAAAGAGAAGTCTTGTGAGCTAGAGGGAGAATTTCCCGGTGTACACAGAAAAACCAGCCTTGAGGGTTGGAAGCTGCTGAGGTTTTTGAGCTTTGTCTCCATGCATTCATACAAGCACAGCAGGAGTTTTCTTTCTTTTGGGTTGGAGGAATTTAAAAAAGTGGTTCCATGCAGACTCCCCTCAGATGCGGCGATGGGGCTGGCAAGCCCCGTTGCGTGGGGAGGGTAAGATTTAGAGACAAAAAAATCACAAAGTAATCGAGTTCCCTTTCTAACTCCTACATTCCTTGTTATCTGCATTTTTTAGCTGACTTGAAATCTCCATGAAAGTATAAGCTGAAGATTTTTGAGGATTTAGCTCTGTGGTCCTCTGTTTCCCTATTGCATCATTTTTGAAGCTGAGGAGAAGCAGGTGTCATCTCCAAATAGACTCAGGTTTTGATGCAGGACATTAGAAATGTGTTTGCATCTGAAACTGAAAGGAAAAATTGAGAGGTGGCTTGACAGTCCCAGCAGCAGCTCTTCTGGTGTTAAGAGGAAGTGTCACCACAATTCTACACAGTGTGTGAATATTTATCA